GTATAGATCTTTTACTTCCTTTGGTAGATTGATTCTTACGTATTTCATTTACTACTGTGACAGGTGTGGTTACCCTACTTTCTCTTTCTCTTTCTCTTTCTCTTTCTCTTTCTCTTTCTCTTTCTCTTTCAGTGAGTTAGTTTTTTCTGCACAGGAAGGTTATTGATACTCCGGAAAGAATGGCTATCATCAATAAATCAACCAATAACAAATGCTTGTGGGGCTGTGGGGGGAAAGGAACATTTCTTCATTGTTGGTAGGAGTGTGGACTTGTATAACCACTGTGGAAATCTGTGTGGAGGCTCCTCAAAAAATTAGGGTTGGGGATCCCATTTGACCCAGTTATTTTCCTTGCGGATATTTTCTCAGAAGATGAAGAGCTTCATACTATACTGGTATATGCAACCCATGATTATAACAGCATAGTTTGTAATAGCTAAATCTTGGAAACAATTCAAATGTCCATCAACTGAGGGATGGATAAAAATATTCTTTTATGCAATGGAGTACTAAGCCATAAAGAAGGATAAACTTGAGATATTTGTAGGTACATATATGTACCTTGCATCTGTACTCTTCAGTTAGGCAAATCTGGCAAATGTGTGTAAACATCACAGTGTTTCTTTGGTGTGACAAACCAGAAGGGTATAACAGGTATTGTGAAAGAAAAAGAAATTGTTCAAAAGAAAGGGGAACTGCAGAAAGAGAAAAGATAAAAAGTGATAAAAGAAAGATAAAATGGCAACAAAGCTGTGTAAAGAGAGAGAGGAAGAGGGCTTTAAGGGAGGGGAAGGGACTGAGAAAAAAGAGAAAGCAAGATATATCACGTAGCGGCACAAATTCCCTACGATGAACATGATCATTGTGTATAAGTTGTTCTAATAAACTTAATAATAAAAATAAGTACATACATATATTCATAGAGGGCTGGGGTGTAGTTCAGTGAAAAGCCCCTGGGTACAATTCCCAGTACTGCCAAGAAGATTTACATATTATATGGAAACACTGTACTTCTGCTCAGTTTGTCTATAAAACTATTATATATATATATATCATGCATATGTGTATGATATACATATTATTTATTTATTTTGTATCAGGATTAAACCCAGGACCTTGCACTTGCCAGGCAGGTACTCCTGCTGCATCCGCGGCCCTATTTAAAATATATTATTACCAAAGATTAGTGTGAAGTGCTTGGACAGTAAGAG